TTTAAATCTGGTACGATGGCATGCAGAAATTATAAAATTAAAAACATGAAACCGTAATTTATGAAATAAAGAACAATTATGATCTAAAGGGTATCAAAATTTACAAAAAAAAAAAAAAAAAAGCTTAATATTTATTTGTTTACTTTATGAAACATGTCTTTCAATGTAAGTTGTTTAAGTTGCCTTGTTTTATGTGCTAATACTTTCTCTTTAATTCTGTATAAACAGACATAATTTCTTCTTCATTTACAAAGTTCTGCTGTTCAAGTCCTGTAATTGATGTGCCGAGAATACTGACTAACTTGTCAATCGAATTTTTTTCGTTTTCACTAACCTCTCGTCACTTTCTTCATGCCTTTATTAATTTTTGCAGCAATTCCACTTTTTGTTTGATGGACATCGAAACATACTTTCGCTTTGTAGATCCTTTGGGAGCTTCAGCATCGGAAATTCTATTTGACATAATCGAAAGTTCAAGCTTACTTTTATAAAATTGCTCTAACAGTCTGCAAAAAATAAGCCGGATCCAGTTCGAAGATTAAGGTACAACGCAATCTGGAACATTAACTGAAATAGATAGTTAGATAATTTTAGCTTATACCGTCCGTTATACATTAAACGCGAATGCGTAAACATATTATGCTATGAGCAGCCGTAAAAGTCTTACGCGCATGAGCAGAAAGTTTGTAGATTTGAGGTCCGGATTATAGATCATTTCGGATTATGGTTGTCCGAATTAACGACTTTTGACTGTACCTTATATTCAGGGCTTAAATTCAACCAGCATTTCTAATTTTAGAAACTAAGCCATGTGAGTTTTAGATATAAGGAAAGGAAATATTCTCCCATCTGCGGATTCGTTTACGGAAATGGTAGGAGAAACTTCAAGGTGAATGAGTATTCATCGTTCCTTTATCGAACATTTTGGAATAAAACTGATACAGTGAATTCAAGCTTAACATGTAGTTTTCTAGAAAAATGTATTCTGCAAAACAATTAACTAAACACTTATTTTAGGAAATAACGGCTATCGTTACTATGGAGTAACTACTGCTACATCTACTGAAGTTCGCAAATACGTGGGCATTATTCGTTGTTTTACTTAGCGTAAGGTAATATAAATTTCTGGTCAGTCGGGTCAGTTCCAGGCATTGGCGACCTAGGCATATCGATTTTTGAAAGGCACAATTTAAGTTGTTCTTAGGAGCGGCTTACATTTCACTTTATACTTGTATTATTACGGTATGTTATCCTCTAAGTATCATGTTGTATTGAACGTTTTCTTATGCGAGTTGTCAATACGTAATGATACGTGCGAGTTATACGTAACGCTCGCCTTAATCGCCATAAACGCAGTGCAGGATTTGAGTATAAGCTAAACAAGCTATAGCTTAGCCCCCCCCCTTTCTTGGCCCCCCAAAATTAAAATATAGTATAAATGTAAAATTAGAAACTAATAAGTATATAACAAACAAATAAAAAAAATAAATAATATAGTAATAAAATAAATAATAAACTAGTAATAAAATAAATAATAAACTAGTAATAAAATAAATAATAAACTAATAATAATTTGATAGAGTTTAGACTAAAGTCTAGCCTTAGCGAGAAAGTACTTGAAATTATCTACATCACGGATAGCAACTGCTATTCGCTCAATCATGTTCTTTTCTTATCAGTTTTGAAATGGGAAAAAAACAGCTGTTCACATGTAAATTTACTCGCAAACTAAACGATTATTCTTAATGCAAAAACAGCTGTTCATACGTAAATTTACTCGAAAACTAAACGATTATTCTTTATGCAAAAATTCCCACCTGAGATTATATATTTTTAATAAGTACGAATAAAAGTTAATGAAATCTGTATCTTTAAATTTCTGAATAAGATTTATATCACACTTGTAAATTAATTAACTACATTTATAGATTTCCTGGCACGTTATTCATGTGCATTTTTAATGGACATGAAAAAATTATATAAACTCAAACTTCAAATAACTAAAATTTTGAAATCTTTGCAACAAATGATAATTGAAATGTCTTCGTGGGCCGTATAAAATTGCTTCGTGACAATTTTAATATCCAGAGATCATAATGGATAATCTAATTCTATAGATATTAAAAGTTGTAAATAATTTTCCTATTTTTATATTTCAGAATTTTCCCAGCAATATTTTTCGTTGGAACAATGCCGACTGAGATTTCTTGTCATTCGTCTGAAAGTTATTTTCGTTCGTCAATTTTAAAAGTGATGTTTATTTCTACTTTTGATGTATAGATGGCAGCACGTGCTTAATCACTTGTGTTCTCCAAGTTATTTGCTGAAAGGGAATATAATGGCTATTCTTTGACTATCTCAGGTTCATATAGTAACAAAAAGGCTACTATTTTGATGTTCAACAAAGAGAATAACCTGGAAAATCATGTAAAAAATGTAACCAGTAAAGCAATACGAAGTTCTATTCATCTCAGATGATTATTTAAAAAACGCATTGTATATCGACCTGGCAAGCAAAAGGAGATTACATACTTCTGTCGTAAAACAAAATATTAATTTACGCTTCTTCTACGTTTAGTTCAGCAACTGACTCAGATTACCTCTACTTCCTGGTAAGGAGAAAGGAGTTACTGCACTAAGGAGTACGAAGGACGGAAGGAGCTACTACACTAAAACTTGAAAATCGATTGCATGAAGGACTACATTCATATCATCAACAGAAATTCTATAAGACGATTAATAATTATGACGTCAGTTATTTTAAATATGAAAAAATTATTTTAAATTATTTAAAGTTATTTTAAATATGACAAATGAATATCATAGGTTTTATGTCACCGTTTCTTAAATTCCTATATCTCGTCATATTCTCTACACGCATACTTCTATACATAAAAAATCTAATTCCTTACCATAGAAAAAAAAAAAAGCTTCAAATTCGGAACAACAAACAATGTTTTAAGCAGAAAATATGTTATTAACTGCAATTACCTAAGCAAACACTAGGTCTCAAAATAATAAGTTACTAATCGGGTCGAAGTTTCTAGTTTTCCTACTGCTGTTGAAAAAAATCAGTTCGATTCATCAAAAAATGAAAAAAATCATTTCGATTTATCTCGTCAGAAAACATTATAAACATATCAAAAGAAATAAATAAAAATGCAATGTGACTGTAAAAAATGAGCTCTAAAATATAATTTACAACTGAAACGGCAATACAAATTTTAAAAAAACGAACAATATATTAATAAACATTGCATATAATATACGTAATATTATTGTCTTTCCCATGTACCAAATGATCTGCTTTTACTTTTAAAAAATCAGAGAATTCCACAAACTCGGCATCGCACTCAGCACCTGAGTTCGAGTTATAAAAAATAACATTCTCAGAAAAATGACCCAACGCTGAAAATAAAACTTCAGTAATTACGTAACAATGAAATTTTTAGTAAAAGCTTACAATTGGGTGCCCCTTGCTTTTTTGACGCCAAGATCGGCACAACGAAGGCACAATTTCAAGATGGCAGCTATACGAAAGCAAAATAAGACGTCAAAGAATTGCACAAACTCGATGTCCATGTAGACATCAATCTATTTTCACTTAAAAAAATCAAAGAATTGCACAAACTCGGCACTGCGCCCTCCTTTGACTTTGCCCATACACACATAGACCTATTTTCTTTTTAAAAAAATCAGGAAGTTAAAACCAAGTTAAAACCAAGGAGGTTATGGTAATATGTAGCTTATTCTAACCTCCTTGGTTAAAACTATCATGGTAACCAGAAATGGGGTTTCATAACAAAAACTGAACAAATTTTGTCGCCAATCGAAGGGGCACCCAATTCTACACTAGAACCAAATTACCTAACAACGAAATTCATTATTATTAAAAATTATCAAAAATTCATTACGTAACAACGAAACTTCTAAATTTGGCCTGCACATGATATTTTAGCTAATAATAATAAATGAAACTTACGTTCAGTCCTCTCCTTTTGTGGAATGATTTATCGACAACTCACTCAGAAGTATCTTCGCAAATCACGAATCTTTTAGAAAAGATTTTGTAATATCATGCTTACATTCGGATAAGTCTCATTTCGATAATTCCCCCTAACTCCACACATCCACTCAAAGCCATCAACATTATTTTTCCCTCTTCCAGTTTCATATTCGTTTCACAAGACGGATTTTTGTAAGAGTTTGAAATCAACATTTTCTCCATAAGCCACTCGGTCACCATTTTTTTATTATTTTTTTTCCGACTACTTAAAAAATATCCAAATTCTGATTGCACCCATAATGCAGAGGCCCCTAATATAAGACGCAGTCATGAATGATCAAAACGTTCTTTAAGCAGAATTCTTTTCTGTATTTTGAGCATTTAAGGTTATAAAGTTCATAAACATTCTTTACGCTAATAAATTCATAGCCGTGCAAATTTGACACTGTTTATCAAAGACTCATATAAAAGAATTTTATACCGTAAACTAAATACACTTTGTTACTGCTCGCTGAGAAAAAATATATTTGTACAAATTTCGTCTGGTTTCTGTCTGTTGCCAAAACGGAGAAAAACTTCGGTGTAGCACCAGGTTGCCTAAGTCCAAGACTCTACCCCACATCGAATAATGGTGTACTGCAAGCCAGAAAATATTAGCATTTTTGCTTTACAACTTTGTAATTCATATTAATAACAATTTCACAGTTTATTTTTGTGCATTTCAGATTTATGTTACATGTTTACATAATCCAGAATAATTAACGAAAATACCGGTAACAGTATAAAATAATATAATAAATTCTTATATGATTCACAATAATATTAATTGATCTTGAAATCACCTTATTTTCAGTTCAAACATTTAAAGAAATAACACTTTTTATTATTATTATTCCATGTATTAGTTTTACGTTGCATTTATTTTTATATTCTTGCAACGAAATTTACTATTTGTTTTTTACGTCACAGCTTTGCACATCGACTTCTACTGCGAAATTTGAGACGGATCTCACTTCAAACTTGAAGCTTGTCTGCTACGTTCGTTTTCGCCGGTAGCGTTCTGTTAAACACTTCTTTTCAGGTGAATTTCTATCTTACTTTTTGTTTCACTAATTTTATGCCATTTTTTTATTATAATGTATTATTCCCTACTTCCATATTTTTCGTGCTTCATGCAGAGTATTAAAAATTGCGCAAATTATTAATATTTTTTTTAAAGTATGATTTGCTTTAAGCACTTACGATAATCATATTTACTTAGATTAATGTATCTAACAGTGAACATGGTTATTATAGATTAAAAAAAGGGTTTAATGTTACAACATAAAATAAAAAAAAAAAAAAGAGGATTTCAAATTATATGTGTAAATGATATTTGTGATTCTGTTTAGTTTTTGAACTCTTTTTAAATTCGTTTAATCTTTAAAATTATGTGTAACATTTATGTTTTGGTACTGGGCTAATTTCCTGATGAATAAATTAATTCATCTCTTCATTATATCATCAGGATTTCATGTAATATTCGTGAAGCAAAAGTAGAAACAGATGAGAATAAAAAGAATTGGTAAACTTGTGATATGCACATGTAGCTAAATACGATATGTTCTGTAGCATATTAACGCATGGAAGGAAGTTAAAATATCAGCAATTATTAATGAAAATATTTGAGTGTCCATCTTCTGTAAACATTATACTTCAGCATTGTTAATGTTTCTTGATTATAACAATGGAAATCACACTCAGTTGCTTTGAAAAATCATATAAGCAAGTATATTTTCTCCTACTAAAGTCTGTAGAAAAACTCATATTGTAGTAGAACCATTTAATGATCTAATTAGTTAGAAAAAAATTTTCCAATATGTAGTCTATAAAATTTTGTAATATAAAGTAAATTGAGCCCTCTTCAGGTTTTAAATGGCATATAGAAACATAATAGTTAAAAATGTTATTTAAAGTAATTTGAGCCCTCGTCAAGTTTTAAATGTTATATAGAATTATAATAATTAAGAATGTTATTTATGTAGTTAAAAATGTATTTTTTGTCATATTATTTATAATATTGATGCATTGCTTTATGCTATAAAGAAAAAGTACAGTAATACTCCAAAGTTATGTCACACTTCATTTCTAGACTAAAGACTAAACTTTATCCATAAATGCAGCCTTAAATTACAGAGGTTAATGTAATTTTCACCAAAGAACATAGTATATATTATTTTGTACTTGAGGGAAAATTTGACAATTATGTGCTGTACATCTGTAACTAATATATCTAAATATTGTAACTTGAATCGCTGTTATAAAATGAGGTAAGTATGTTACGATGGGAGAATGTTCAAAGACTGGAAGACTTTCTCTGAAGTCTTTCCTAATGAAGATCCCTTTCATCTTTTAAAAATTTCTCATAGTAAGCACAAATACTTTTTGTTCTTTTTCTGGCTGTTGTGTTTGTGTAAAGCAGCATCTTCATTAAAATTTAATGCATTGTTTAATTCTCAAGCTATCATATTTTATTCTGAGGGTTTAGGATAAGATTCATTAGTTTATTCAAGGATATTCAGAAATTCTAGAAAATTGTTGCATATGAATTTTTGATAAACAGAATATATTAGTTTTCTAGTATGCTAAATATCACTTTCCAAATTAAAGTCTCTCATCATAACAATTACAGTTATTAAAGAAAGGGGGAGAAACCAGTTTCTGTTTTAGAAACAAAATTCATTAGGTTTGTAAAGAAAAGAGGAAGATATTTTTCCAGATTGGCTTTTGCTTTTTTACATTCTACGCATCTCTTGTGGTTATGACTGCATTTAGATTACTGAAATCTTTTTAAGTCTCATTCTCAGTTCCGTATCTTCATTTAAGGCTACTCTGAAGCTGACTGAAGAATGTTTCACATAATGCTCTGTGAATGGCATGATCATCCCAGTGCATCAGTCCACTGGTTGCAGCAAACAAGTGATGTATGGAAAGGTGGAAAAAAAATTCTATTGTTAGATTGAAATCCAAAATTCTAGATCCTTAGCCCCATCATAATACTTCTTGTTTATAATTCCTTATGTTAGATTTTCATTTGACAATGTCCATAAAATATTGTGAGATGTTAGATTTGTTATTTCATAGCTGTCCCTTATGATAGTGTGGTTTAAAAGGATTAACCAATACCCATGTCATTGCATCCTAAATTTGGAAAAAAAAAAAAAAAAAAAACACAAGGTGACTGCTTTGATTATCTGTTTTATGCATGTTTTCAAGTATACATGAAAAAGTAGTCAACCGATGCATAAGCACACCTCGCACGTTTATATATATATATGTAATGATGTAATTTGTTACTTGGGGTAATTTGATACGAGGTGAGGTGATACTAGGGAAGATTTTGTAGTTGCGAAGAGATTGAGGGTAGAAGATCACTGAAAATATCAATTATATAATAAGATGTAGAGAACTTTTGAAGAATCGCAAACTCGTTTGCTAATTCATATATCTCTTTATTACTTTTTGATTGCCTTATGGCACGGCACGGCACATTACAAGGGGGCCAATTTGCTTCGCACAGTTTTCATGATGATGCATTACGTTTTTAACAGAAGCAGCTAAGCATGAAACTTCCTTTAGCTAGCAAGCATAGGCAGAGAAAAGGGGAGGGGTAGTAGGATTGCAGTGGTATTTGTAGTAAAATTTTTCATTGATCTGATTGGCTAAAACTTAAAAGTAATGCAAAAGTTTAAGATGACCTAATGCAGAATTAGTTTTCAGATATGGTGCAGTTTCCAGAAAGTTATTACTAGACAGGAAGTACCCTAATTAAAAATGATTAATTCAGAGGCCTTTTTGAATTGTAATTTTGATTTGTATATTTTTATCTTACATATATCAATTACACTTTTATATACCTGTGGTTTTACGTATTTTATTCTACGAACAGTTATTATCGAGATTAAAGATGTATGGACTGTGCACAATTTTGTCTTTTCTCCAAAAATTTCATTTTTTTTTTTTTTTAAATGATTCTTTTTATTATTATTTGTAAGCAGAACAGTGTTTTAATGTCTTGAAGGTAATGAAACAGATTGTTTTCTCGAGTGGGTTTGAGATCTTTTGTGAGGATGCCGGTAACCAAAAAATACATATGAATTTTTTTTGGCATGAGGGCACTTGTCTTGATAAGGTAGGTTGGTGACTCAATTTGAAATATGAGGTATGTGGATTTCATTCCCTGGAATCAAAACTAGGACCAGGGTATGAAAGATGGCCCTTGTGTGTTTTACTTAACTATTATAGCTTTTGCTGTACCATGATAAATGAACAATAGATTTTAGTACAAGTAATTTAGTACATTAGTAAAAATTTTGCATAATTTCTAAGTAATTTTTTAATTGCTTTTAATTTCACTGTAATATACATACTGTACCTGCGTATCCTTGTGTACCACTTATTTGCCTATATTTATACTAAATACACATTTATATTACAAGCTGTTTTTTGGTAATAATTTATTATTTATCTGTTTGCTTTATTTGAAAACGCATAAAAGTATACGTAATTTTTCTTTAGCAGGTTAAGAATTATTCATCCTTTCCTTTCCGTCAACTAAATGATGTTCAAACTCATTTGAAAGCATTTTATTTAGTCTAGCAAAACTAATACTGCAAGTTTCATGAAGTAACTTGGCAGATTGATTCTCCTTTTTGAGAGTAATTTCTTTTTGATAAACAGAATTTATCTTTTTTCATAAATGAAAAACATCTTAAAAACTTGAAACTGTAAAAAGAAAAGGAAAAAAAAGAGAATAGTATTTTTACTGTTTTGTTGTTTTGTAATAAATTGTTAAGTTCACGGTGTAATATCGAGTTTTTAACATAAGTTTCCCACCACCACCACCACGACAAATATCGTGTATCCAAAAAGTTTGCATTGGCATGTTTAATCATATTTTGTCAAATGATTTTTGACATTTCAAAGAAAGAGACTTACTTTAGAATGCTTAAATACAAGGTATCTGAAATGGAACCAACAGCTATCAGATTAGAACTATGATTTATTTCCAATTCCGTTGCAAAAAGTCACCTACATAATTTCGCCAAATCATGTGTAAAGCTTTAGGAAGTAATGTTTTATCATACGACACTGTGAAGGTTTGGTACTGAAAGTTCAAAAACATGGACTATGACATTCAAAAAGCAGAGCTGTCTGGCCAGCCTACTGATGTTGATGAGGCCCACCTGCAAGAATTTGTGGGAAAAGATCAGTATACAACCACTCGAGAGCTTGCTAAGGAGTAGCAATAGGAGTTAATAGCAATAAATTAGATATATTGAAATAATAGCAATAAATTAGATTTGATTTAACAGCATACTAGATTAGTTTGAAAACTAAGGGAAATATTTCTGACTTTTGTAACTATTTTCTAAAATTGCTTAAATTGATGCAGTAGTTGGTTGAATTGAAACGAATGTGATGTAAATAACATCCAGAACCTACGTATGAACCAATTTCTCAAAATTCTTATACTTTGCCTACAACTGATATTTTAAATTGCATTACAAGTGTTAATTAAATCAGTTATTTCTGAAACCTAACACCTATTTAACTATTTAGTATGGTTCACCAAAAATAACAAAACATATCATTTTGTTGGGTTAGAATTATGTAAAGATTTTGATAAAAAAATTATGTGCAAATAAGTTTGGAAAAAAAGTTACATATATGAAGGTAAAGGCTGTGCACTTTTAAGAATACATACTGTTTCTTTGTTTTATTATTTATAAACATTTTTAATAAGAATGTACTATTTTTATATGTGGTATCATTTAAGAAGCACAATATTTTATGTTTGCCTGAGGAATTCCCTAATGGATAATGTGGTCTGAAGTAACTTTCTTCTAAACTATATTTCTCTATTAGGAGGGAATTGTTGCCAACCTGTTCAATTTAGAATTAAAACTTCCCTAACTTCCAATTTTCAATGTCTGATAATGTTGTGTCTGAATTTGAAGTAAAGATTTTAAAATTCAAAGATAAGTTTGAAGTGCTATTTATTTTTAAAAATTTGATATAAAAAGTTCAGATATTCATATA